GCGCGTTGTCTCCTCCATCAAGGAAGTGACTGCCTCAGATAACTGAGCGTGACAAGTACCATCAGCCATGGCGCAGGACCTGGGCTCTGATACCACTGTTAGGAGCTGAACTAGAAGATAAAAACAAAGATAAAACTTATGGCTTTCGAGGAGCCACACCAACACAATTTGTACTGAATGAATGTTTCAATGTCTTTGATTCACATAGCAGAATACTTAAATAAAGGCTTACAATAATTGACACTAACCCCCGTACTAAAATGCAAGACCCACAATACAAAATGAAAGTGGCCAAACAGCTCACTACTTGACCAGTTTAGTAAAACAGAAACATGACAAAACAAACCTTAAATAAATAACAAATGACTAAGACACCCTAACTTTCGGACCTTGACATTTGATTTGAGCCCACATCCTCAATTGTGAATTTAGGAAAGGGTTGCAACTTGCTCCAATATCCATCTCTAGATTCCCAAATTTTCCTGCAAAGAAGAGCCATCAAAAGTAGCCGAAAATGAAAAGTATGTTTGTATGTGTTATGTGTTCCAGAGGCCTTAACCACTATTTTTTTTGTAAGCAATGTTTTCATTTTTCAATAATGCTGTTGTTGTGAGGATTCTAAGTTTGTTGATCTAACATGGTAATTTGGAAATTGAAATTTTGAATGGGCATGCTGCACATTGATTAATGGATTCCCCGTTTGACGTCACAGTAGTTTTTTCCATGATTCACATTTGACTTGAATTGTTGTTCTTATCTTTGTTAAATTGGATAGAGAAGTATTAAGAAAATTTGGGAGTTGCCCAGTTGGATTTGGAGAAGATGGCTTCTTGCCTCCTTCATGATTGTTGGCTATGCTAATTGTGGTTATTTTAGAAAAAAATTCCCATTGATTTCCTTTTACTAGACCCAATCAAGGCATAATGGATTCCCAGACAAAATTCACATTCTGCTTTCGATTTGATGACTTGGGAAGTTTTTTCTGTGTGTTGCGTGAATCAGTGAAGTCTTTGACTAGAAGGATTGATGATGAGGAATATATTTAAATCTAAGTTGAAGCTAGAACTTAAACTTCTTGTTTGATCTTGTGTATAACTTTTTTCAGACTTGACCAATTACTAGAAACAGGGTTCAACATTGACAAGAATGATTACTCGTAGGACTCGAAGTATAGGTTCTCAACATAATTTGTTGCTTAGGGCCTCCATATTCTCAGGGCCGGCCTTGCCTCCACATTTTGTCTCACAAGGTATCTTTCATAACATCGCTTCATCCAAAAAATCTTCCTTAAAGAACGAATGATTTGATATATTTGTAGGATTGCAGCAGATACACTCCAATCAACTTTCTGCTTTTCAAATAGTAGGCCTAAGCTATAGGATGGCCACTTTTCATAATCATTCAGTGACACCTTAACCTAGGTCAACAGAGGCGAATCTTATGACGTGACACATTGGTCGTTAAGATGATGTCACATATCATCCATCTAACTATAATCACTTCTCCTCTTCTACTATAAAAGCTCATACTTGATGCCATTCAAAGGTAATGTAATTTTACACTGTGATGGTTATATTCTCTCTTCAAACCCAATTACCATACACATTTTCATGGTTCTCGTTCATTATCTAATCTACACCTAAATACACTTATATAGTTGATTAACTTGATCACTGGAGTGCTCACGATCGCCTTTTCCACTTCCAGAGAATATCATGTTTACTTAATGTTAGTCCAAGTGTGCAAGATCTTGACATGTGGACGAGAGTCGAGTCAAAATATGTTGGCCATGCTATCCAGTCGAAAAATGATATCAAAATAATTATTGATATATAGACTAACATATAAGAATTTGGGTAACCGTGCTAAATACCAACTCTTTTTAAAATATAGAAGTGTCATTTTTTCGTAAAACAAATACTTGGGTTTGTTTAACTCAATTGCCAAAAAGAGACTTGTCTTCTGTTAGCAAATTCTGAATAAAAAAAAAAAGGCTTCAAACAAGATCAATTAGTCAATCCAAATAAATAAGTTAGTAAAAAAATGAATAATCTATCTAGCATCAGTGGTGTTGAACATCCGTTTAGATGTCAGCATGTGATATGTCCAATTAAATGGGTCATAATTCCTTGTATTTAATTAAATCTGTAAATTAATAACACTAGTATTATCACTTAAACTGATGTTAAATACTAATGGTGCTAAATAGCATTACTTAAATAAAAAGTAATCTCAAACTATTGATGCTATCATAATCAAGTATTTTAATATTAATTGCTATTAGATGGATTATGATGGGATTGGCAATATGTTATTGTCTAATTCAAATAATAAAGTGTGAATGAGTCAACGCTAAATTCACGAATTTCAATCTAGAAAATTGATTAGAAGATTAAAGTGTGTGGTATTCAATGTTTTAAAGTGAAACATGTTTATGAACATGGAAATACCACGTATTGAATTCTCACAAAACAAAGAATATTATTAAAAGACTTATACTCATCACACAAATTGCTGCTTTAATAAATTGTAGATTTAATAAATTATCTTGGACGGTCAGGAAAAAAAAATGAAGAGAAAAATAAAACAAAGAAAAAAGAATGGAAGAAAACAGGAAATTAATTAAGAAAATTCTACTTGTACATAATTATTGCACATAATGGTGTCCATAATGTGATTTGACAATCATCCGATTGTTAATATGCAAGTGTGAGTTTTGAATTAAAGGTTGGATCCAATGCCACGTGTAATTATGGACACCATTATGTAGACAATGATGTACATATAGCACTTCCCAATTAATTATGTCATTATCGTGAAGTCTTTATAGTAAGATGTAATGAAGGTGTACAAGTTATTCCCAAAAAATATCTACGATTCGTTCAAATTAATGCTACATGTCATGTGGAGAAAATTAGGGCATGATACCTATTTAAATTTTAATATTTATTATTTTTTCTTTACTTAGCTAGTCTGCATATAATTTTGTGTTTATTTTTGTGGTCGACCTAAAAGAGAATATCTAAATCATAAAGAGAAGTTTAATTAAAAAATAAATAAATTTAAATTAAATAACAAAAATAGCTTCATTTCAAAATTGCTGACAAAAGTAGTTATTCGATTTCTACAACTAATCAAAATTTTAAGATTATTATTATTATTTCATTGAAAGTTTAGGTGAAAATAAAATAATTGAATTCCATTAATAATGTTTTAAGAAATATGAGAAAAATTACAGTAAACTTGGCATTTGCATCTCCATATTTTTTTATTTCGCACTCTCCAATTCACCTCCCAATGTATGTGCACATATTGTGTCATCGCCCCCAGGGTACATCTTCAAGTGGTAAAAGGGGAGGGTGGAGAAATCCAGCTTTACTTGAGGCTGCCGCGTCAAGGGTTCGAATCTTGAAATATGGATTTGGCTCTTGGCTAAGTGCAAGTATACAAGCAGTCTTCCACCCTGTACCCTTGGAGGCATAACCTGCGATTTACTTCTCTCACGATACTTCAGGGTAAGGGCGGTGGGGGACCCTTAAAATTGGGGTTCAACCTTTTTACATATTGTGTCATTAACTGTAAAGACTTAACATAACAGTTTATATTCAAATGCTTTATTAGAATGAAAATAAAGAATTAATTGCTGCAGACGGCGCAAAATACTATTATTAACCATTCATGGAGTACAAGATACATTAAATATTTTATTAATCAAATTAAAATCTTATAAAGAATGCTCAATAATTTGTGCAACGTATTAGATTCACATGATGCAATGCATTTTACTTACCTCAAAAATTGGATAATATTTTTTAAAGCCAAGTTCACAAGATTTTTCCTACTCAATTTCTGTATTCGAAATCTACCTTTCTTGGGTCGACGGAGGCCCAAACCAAATCCATATACACTGAACAAAGCGTCAGTGTATCCGAATGTAATTAACAACCCAAAAATGTTTTTACCATTGGAAAACTTTGGGGGATTTGAGATTTATTTATAAAATTTTAGAGCTTTTATTTTTTGGAATAGATTATAATTAGTTTAAATTATAAATAGATAAAATAAGTGAGTAAAATTTTTAATTCATGAAACTTATGAATAAAAAGTAAGTTTGACCGATTATACTTATAAAATAAATAGGTACCAAACAAACATTTAATAGATATTATTGACCCATATATTTCCGTTTGATTCTCATTAAATTCAATTACATTACATTTAGGCCTCGTTTGGTAGGGATTTTTTGCCCAAAAAAATTGATTTTTTGACCGTTATTTTACTATTCAAGCCGTAATTTTTGACTTCTTCTCTCACATGTGGACCCCATTTTTCTTCTAACGGACAAAAAATCAATTCTCAAAATCCCTACCAAACGGGCCCTTAATTTTTCTCTCTCCTATTTTCAACTACACAATCTTTCATTAAATAATATTACACGTAAATCGAAAAAAAATTTCTTCTTTTTCAACCACTCATTTTATTGGCATTTTTTTTTTATCACAACATGGATCCCATATGTGAAATTTCTGGCAAAAATCTGTGAAACAGTTTTCTGTACGCATAGCATTTTTGTATCAAGAGTCTGTTTGTGAGTGATTTTTTCCTCCAAAAAAATGATTTTTTGACCGTTATTTCATTATTCCGGTCGTCATATTTGATTTTTTTCTCACAAATAGACTCCACTTTTCTCCTAACGATCAAAAAATCAATTCTCGAAATCACTCCCAAACATGCTCCAAAATAAGGTGAACACAAGATTATTTAATGTGAGCTTTTCAAGAATTCAATTGTATTGATGGTGAACAAAGTTTTTGACTCTTTTAACTAATGAGTCCATATATAATGGTAGAACTGAACTGGAGCGAAACCAGTCCCATCTGATTCTAATATATATAACAAGCAAGAATGAAATTTTTCTTAAAAACATAACATGGAAGAAAAAATGCAATAAACACCGAATTTCTCAAAAAATCCATACAACATCCCATAAGGGACCCTAAGTCTTTGTCACATGGGACTGCATTCTAGTTTCAGACCACCTCTGCCAACTCTACCTTGTCTCGTGTGGACAAAATCTGACCCTCTTTTCCTTCAACCATTAATTCACCAGATTCAAAATGGAAAAACTCTCTCAAATCTGAGTCCTCGGAATAGAAGCAGAAACCTGTACATATTTCCTCGAAACACACAGTTCTATTTTCCTATTCAATTCTGTGAATAAACAATTCTCTTTTGACCCACAAAATACAAAAAAGAAAAGCAAAAAAGAAGTTAATCCTGACCATTATTGTTCTGCTTATAGTACATACAGAAGTGTAAACAAGAAAGTCTTCAAGAAGAAAGACAAAAAGGAAGAATTAGAAAGTGTAAACAAGAAAATCTTCAAGCTTCAATTTTTATGAGTTTCGGACCAATCAAAGGTAAGTTTCTGCATATCTTCAGTTTCGTGATTTTTATTTTTCACTTTCTGGTTTCATCTGTTTTTGTATTATGTGTGTGAAGCTGGAAATTTTGGATTCTTAGGAAAGAAATAATAGGACAGCTCTATTGAAAATGAAAGGTGGGATTTTTGTGCAGTACTGAAAATGAAATTTTTGGGTTTAAAAATCTTATAATACAAATATTTAGTCATTGATACAGTTGGCAACACTTACAAAGTTTCTGTTTTTTCAAGAATTTTGGGTCTAACTATGTATCTATTTCCTCAATGAAATTAATTAAGTCAAGGACAGCTTAAATTGGAACAATTAAGGAAGCAATGTTGCCTATGTTGATTTAAACTGACGACTATGAAGAAGAATTCTGCTTCGTTAAGAAATTCGGGTGCATATACCAGCCCGGGGACGCCGGAGTATGGCGATAACAATGTTGGGGGAATTTCAAAAGGTTGGAGTTCCGAGCGAGTTCCAATCCCTACGAATAGTAGCCGGAGGCATATTAATGCTGCTGCATTTATGCCATTTAATGGTGGAAGGACCCTTCCTTCAAAATGGGATAACGCTGAGAGATGGATTACGAGCCCAGTTTCGGGTTATGGTGCTGGTAAGTCACCGATTGTGCAACCTCAGAGGCGGCCAATGTCGAAGAGTGGACCATTGGGGGCTCCAGGACTTGTGCCGATGCTCGAAGGTGGGAGCATGAGGAATTTCGTGCCCAATTCACCACTTACGACCGGGGTCTTGGTGCCCGATGGCTTAACCATTCATTATGGTGCTGGCATTTCTGCAAAATCGAACTCTTTTTATCCTGAGAATAGCATGGTTCGATCCACTTGCGTGCCTGGCTTATCGGATATGCTAAGTGAATCTTCGATGCCAAGCCCCCAAGGTATATAGTTCTTTTTTCTTTCCGGGCTCTGTATGTGATCAAATGCACAAGCTTTGGTATAATTCAATTACAAACATACATAGACAAAAATGTTGCTTTACGATTTAGTTAACTGGGACTTAAGTTTTCTATTCAGTTGAGTAATATATCTACTTTCTGCAGATGCTGCAGCAGTACTTGAGTTATCATGTAACTTCGAATTATTTGCGTGTGAATGTACCTAAACCCTGATGATGAATTGAAAACGAGTCTTGTTAAAAATGGAGTCAGAGGTGCGATTGGTTATACGAATAAACTATTTATGCTAACTAAATATCTGTTGTTTTCATCATTGATGAATTGAATGGTCAGATGATAAACCAGATAGAACCAAGAAGGATGAAGCTATAGTTTCATGGGATATTTCAAATAGGGATATGGCAACTCAGATGAGCCCGGATGAAAGCACCCATTCTTCTTCCAAAGGAAGGTTATCATTCTCTGGTCTCCCTATTTCACTTCCAAGATTAGTAGAGCCGCACAGCAATCATTCAGTGAAAGACGAAGTCAGGGACGTCCAGGTAGACAAAAGTGTCACTGTAGCCAGGCAGTCCAAGAAACATGGATCAAGAAAGATGAGAGGTTTGCCAAACGCTGCAGATTTACCTTCACAGTTGGATGTTGCAGATGCATCAAATAGCATGTCAAGGTATGCATTTTTTCCCTCAGAACCTTAAGGACATATTTAGTATGTAGTACTAGACTCGACAAAATAAGAAATGAGATTTTAGCTTATTTTTCTTCTTTAAGCCAGTCTGCTACTATCCAATCCTCTCAAATAAACACGTCATGAGAGTTGAGGACCATTAATTATTGACTTAGCAGAAAAACTCTCAATGCCTGGTATAAAATTTCACCTGTATATAACAGTAAAATTGTTTGGAAACCACATTTTGTGTATGTAATAAACTACCTTGATCTGATCCTGCAAAGCAAAGAATACTTCTCAATATGCTGATAATAAAAAATGACTAATTATTCAATGACTTTTTGTCGTCGCAATTTATTTACTATCTCGATCAGATAGTAGTACTTCTTATCATCCGTTAAAATTTGCAACTAACATTACAAAACAGTGAATGAGGGAAATTGGTTGTTATCCAATCAAAGGATGTGAGTGATGCTTATATTTCTTTGTGTTTGCGCAGGCTGCAAAGAGAGGAAGCCAAGATCACTGCTTGGGAGAACTTGCAGAAGGCAAAAGCTCAGGCAGCAATGCGAAAACTCGAGGTTCGTCCAAAGTCAACTCTACAAATTTTTAAAGTCGAACGTTGTAGTTTTTAGAGTGCACGTTGAATGCAAAAAATAAATATAACAAATGCTTAGAGTTACGATATCTCGTATAATTTACTTATCAGGTGATGTTGGACGACCATGGTCTCTGATAACCTTATATCCAGGTGAAACTTGAAAAGAAGAGATCGGCATCCATGGACAAAATCTTGAAGAAGCTGAAAACTGCTCAGATGAAAGCACAAGTCATGAGAAACTCATCGTCCAAAAACCATGCTCGGCAAGCTCCAAGAACTTCTAACAGACGGTTTTTCTTCTGTACATATGTCAGGATGGGTTCTCTCAGCAATTGCTTTTGCTGCCATGGAAACTAGTCCCCACTTTATCCTTCTCTTATTCATTATTCAGTGATGCAGCGCGTCATTAAGGAAATTCAGTCCAAAATATATATCATTTTGATCTTTATGATTGAGAATAGTTAGCAACTCGAGTCATGTTGACAAAATGACTAGAAAATTAAGTTTTGTTGGCCAACTATATAATCAGCGGAAGCAGCCCAGGGGTTGTATGGTAAAGGAATAACTTTATTTGAATCTATAAATATCTGGGTACAAGACTACCTTCTTTTCTACTTTATCTTTTCCTTTTTAAGTTGAAAAAATAAAATAATATGAAACGATCAATACTGACTAGTTATGTACTCAATATCAACGCTTTGCAACTTTGATTGACAATACTGGAAGGAAAAGAAATCCAGTGTAAACATTCTAACAAACGCACAAATCTACTCATCTCAAATTCTTCTGCTGGATGCACGTTCGGCTAAAATTGCAATGGAATTTCATAACTTCTCAAAAAGTACAAATGAATTAAAAAAAATAAATAAATAAATAAAAATCATCCTCCCTGACCAATCTCATCCATCCACGCTGTCAACACTCACCCCCTCTCATCCTAACACACTGGTAACCGCGGGTGTAATATATGACGTAAATTTTTATTAAATATAATAATAAGTTGATCTCTTTAGGTTTTATAACGTCGATAATTTAATTAAATTAGTAGTGACAATGAATGAAAAAAATAGTCTATTTTATTTAATAATCAAATACTAATTAAGTCATGTTTAGCCCCTATTTGATCCCCATTATCTGGAAATGAAAATTGGGAGAATAGTATTTTTTAGAAAATTAAACGGTTGAAAAAGAAGGAAAAGTTTTCGATTTACATGTAATATTATTTTATAGAAGATTGTGTGATCAAAAATAGGAGAGAAAAAAATGAAATGTATTATAATTTAATTTAATGAGGATCAAACATGGGCTAAGCCAATGTTCGACGGCAGAGGCTTTAGAAATTCGAGATATTAAGATTCTTATTTCAAAGAAAAACATTTTTTTTTAAATTTCTTCTATAGGGGCACGTGTACTTCCATATTTTATACCATAATCCAAAACATTTGATTAATAAAAATCACCCGCCAGAAAATGGTATTTGATTGCAAGTGGGGTGAATCAAGATGCGTGGGATGGTGGTGAACTTGGTTAGGAAACATGAACATTTCTAAATTATTATATAAATATATATACACACACACATTAATAGGTATTTAATTGTTTTAAATGAAATTTATTTACACTTTCGAAAAGTAATGAAAGTTTTTGTATTTTTTATTATTTTACTGCTTTCTTTTCTTTTATTTATTTAAAGAGTGCAAATCCATCGTTTAAGGCTCAAAATCGATGGAATTACAAACTTCACTGTTGAGCATGGATCGTGTTTATAAAAATATTAAACATATACTTGTTACATTTTGCAAAGATCGAGAACAAATAATGCAAATTTCATTATTTTGATTGAACTTCATTTATAAACATGTTCAAATATACTTTCTTTTCAAAAAAGTTTATTATTTCGAAGTAACCTACCAACAAACAATATAACTTACTTCAAAAATTTATTTACTTGTAGATAAGCTTAAACAACATGCAATTAATCAGAATAACTTAAAAATCCAAAAGATATTTCTTTCTTCAAGTTCACAGTAGTGCAATTATTTATGACTAAGAAGATCAAACGTAACCATATGATTCTCAAGCCTTGTGGCACAAAGTAACAGGAAATGGAAAGCACGCTTTTCTTAAATAATGAAATAAAAGCAAGGTTTGTCTACAAATAAAAGCTGCTAGCACAGAGTAGAGTACTACATAAAAGAGGTATAAATAGTCTGATTTTAAACAGAGACAATCCAGAACAATAAACATTGTAAATTTGGAAACATTGTCTGATAGTTAATGATAATTTCAACAGTCGGCACACTACCATTAGCAGATGCACCGAGGCATTGTGTCATTAAAATAATATTCAAATACAAATTCAGCCATCCCTTCCGACCTCTAGTAAGGCCTATACCTGTAATCAGAACGAGAAGGCCTTCCACCACCAAAGTCGCCACGCATACTACCACCCATGCCACCACGCATACCAACACCACCCATGCCGCCGCGCATACCACCACTCATGCCATAGCCCCACTGCATATCAATAGGAAAAAAGGGTTAGCATTATAGTCCAAAAACCAAGACATAGGCATCAAATGGCCCAAATCATCTAAAACAACAGGATAATTAACACAATTAACTCCATGGCAGGTGTTCAACATTTCATATATTACGATAGTAGACTGTCCTAAACAAGAGCTTAGAATAGGTCATAAGTATTTATGTTTCAACCAGAACATTGTTATTGACAATCCTCTTTTATGTACTTATTAAAAGTGCAGTCCACATTACAAAGTGAAATGGCAATAACCTTCCCCTTCTACTTATAGATATGGGGAAAGAGAACACATGCTATCAGATTATAAAATAATTATTTTTTTAAAATGGCAACATTATTTGTAATTTACCTCCTGTAATGTGATTTTAAGTCAGTCATTCTATGATTGCTATCATCACTGGTTCTATCACTATTCATAGATCTTGCATTAGCAACCATTCCTGAATGTGCCCAAATTTTTTCAAATGGTTAACTGGTCTTCAAACTTAGGTAACTCAAGTACATGTTCATTTCTTTCTATCACCTAAATCCATATATTCTCTTGTATAGTCTGTACGGAATGTAGTTATCACTGTAAACTCATTGTCCTTCAGGTCCCACCACAAACTTTAATGCTCCTTTTTATTAACCTTGATCATAGCCCAGGAGTACACGTGATGTGGCCAAACTCTCTAGGGTTAACTTAGCAATCTTAAAAAATAAATCAATCTATCGGCCAGTAAGGAAAAACATCACTCCCATTTAGCCTATTTTTGAAAGTAATGAAGTGCACATCCCTCTTCCTGAAATAGGTTTTTGGTACAAACGAGAACATAAACCAAGAAAAATCTAAATTGACGCTTCAATATCATCTTATTCTCAAAACCAAATTCCCTGCGCAGCATGTTAAAGGCCGCACGACCCTTACCTAAATGTCCATTAATATTTCAAACCGAATAAAAATTTCTCCTTCCTATAGTTTCAATTAGTACTAATTCCTCCATATCATCCTAAAGTTTCTTCTTAATGCAACTCATAATCCCATTTGTGATTGTATAAATCCTCGAACTATTTTATGTGTTCATTTCTAACCACTCTTTATAGTACCTACATTATCTCCTATAACAACTTTAATCAATATAATCCTAGCTATCATCAAGGTTGCCCAGAAGGTATTGAATAACAACCGCAACAACTCTACGAGTTTGATAGAAGATCTTAAAAATGGAGAAGAGAAATTAACTGTCTCCAGACCATCCACACACCACATTTAGACTTGGGAACCTGTCATTATTGTCATCCGAAATGAGATTCCAATTTCCACAACCAATAATGCAAAGTAGAACTTCTAGACCTATGGTATTTCCTTAGAGAAACCATTGGATATTCCTGTAACAATAGTAACATTCCACATCTCTCCATGTACTTGATTGAAAATAATTATTTTCAGCATCAGAATTCCATCCTCACAATGCACTTTAATCAGGGCATGCTTTAATCGAAAGGAACATGATCACTCTGAAAAACTTAATGTTGGTTTTGATTGAAGTAATTAAAAAGCTACAACCTTTAAAAAGGCAAATTAACAAATAAGAGAAGGATAGCTCCATGAATCAGCAGGGTGAAATGGAAGTAGTAGTCAAGTTATGTTCTTGATGATACACAAAACAGCTTATTAGACAGTAACACGGAACAAATTATAAATCCATACTTACATCATCAAAATCCAAGCTCCCATACATCCTGCCATAGGAACGAATAGGTCCACCATACCCGAATGGTTCAGGATTGTTCATCATGAAATTACTACTGGGGCCAGCATCATCAATTGGTGTAGCTGAATCTATTGCAACCTGTAAGACATCAAGAGGAGAACTGTAATATTAACTATTTACTACTCACATTGCCATTCATTTACAGCTTTCGGTAAGCATTTTTCAAGTACTAGAACATAGAGGTATTAAGTTATATGAATCATGATACATGATGAGAATTTAGACAAGTAATTTAAAAAATTTTAAGTCAGGAGAAAGGAGGTTGGTATAGATTTTTATGCAAATATCACTAATTTAACATGTAACTTGGATTCTCTAATACTTGGTTGCCTCAAGATAAACGAGAGTACATTCACTTCATGTAAGAATCTTTTGTTTCAAGTCCAGTCACATCTCAAGGGTTCCCTGTACTTAAAAGTATAACTACTTCAGCAGGGGATTTACATTTCTATATATTCAGCAAAATCTTTAAGGACTTCTTATCAAATTCTTATCTGCAACACACAATGGTTTGCTAGTCCAGATAAGGACACCAACCTGGTGTCCACATATTTCATGAGATCTCCGAGCTACACGATCTGCAACACCATCTTCGGCAAAAGTCACAAAACCAAATCCCCTGTGACCCGTTCTCTTGGGGTCCTACACAAAATAACAAGACTGCATTATAAACATTAATCTATCTAATTGTTAACTGCATCAAGTCAATGTTACCTTTGGAACATAAACATCTAAAATACGACCAAATCTCCCGAAGTACTGACGGAGATCTTCTACGCTTGCCTCCTGAGGAAGCCTGCCAACAAAAATCTTTTTGCCCATTCCAGGAGCTGTTTCTCCTCCTAATGAGTGATAATTATTAACTTGGGTGCATTTAGCTTATATTAAAGTGATACAAGGAAAATGTGTAAAGTAATTAACTTACTTCCATACATAGGACCGGAATGATCATACAAGGTTGGAGCACCAAGTGTAGCATATCTAGTTGCAGAATGCATGTAAGCATTATAAGCACCATAGCCACCACCCTGAGGCATTCGACTTATTGGTCGGAAGTCATCCTCCTGTTTAGAGTATAGGTGGCATATGAACAAGGTTAGTAATAGAGTATTAAAAAGTCCAACCACGTTTTTTCTGTCATAACTGAAAAAATTCCAAACAGCCGAACTGGAACCCTCCCTCCCTCCCTCCATGGGTGCACAAATATGCAAAAAAAGAAGGTCGAAGTAGTGGAGAGAAGAAAGCCCGGGTGGTGGTGGTGAAGTAGGTAGCACATCTAACTAATAGCTAAAACTATTACAGGCTTATGCAGGAAAATTATGCATGCATAGTTCATGAATTGAAAAGCCATTCACATCACAATAAGAAAATGCCATGTGATACTGAAAGATACCTTTGGGGTTGCCCGATCCACGACTACAGTAGAACCTCCCAATTCATGGGTTTCAGCCATCAGATCATCAACTGCCTCTGTGAAAATATTAGAATGAAGAAAGGATTTAAGTTCACAGCAAACAATGTTAGTCGTCAAAAACTGCACCTCATGCAGACAAAGAATTTCACATTCGACGGCTTATATATTTCTACCTCGTTGATCCCATAGGTTTATAGCTTCAGGGGGCGGGGTGGGCGGGGGGGATAACTAGACAGGAGTAGGCAACAGAAATTGGTCAGAAAAAATATTCTCCCAGAAAAGCTATCCTTCTCGACCCTTTTGACAACTGACATGATTGGTTCAATTCAATCTTCATATGCCCATCAAAACATAAAAAATAATGCCAGAACGAATGTTTCTTCTCACTATTCCCCAGTCATTCATTTAGAGGATAGAATTTGGACAAAATAGTATGACGATCTAAAAAAGGGCACATGTAATAAGTCTAGAGGACAGAACAGCTGCTACAACCACTAGAAACCACACACCAAGAAAAAACATTGAAACTGAATTACCAGCATTTGCAAAAGTGATAAATCCAATCCCACGATGGCCCTTGGCAGTTGGATCCTGACAATAAAAAATGACATGAGAAGCTACAATAAAAATGCAACATTATGTTTGATAGGAATTAGGAAGTTAGAGAAATACGAACCTTTGGCATGTATAAATCTGTTATGTCACCATACCTCTCGAAATGACTACAGGAGAATGCACACAAAATTTGAGACTTCAATAAGAGTGCAAATGTACAAAGACGTAACAGATCATCAAATTACGAAATATTTTAGATTCAAACTCAAGCCTATGTTTGAGCTCCATTTTTCCAAAAACTCATTTTGAACCACACATTTTTTCATAAAATAATTTTACACATAAACCCAAAACTTTTCCATATTTTTCAACCACACATTGTCCAAAAAAATCACTATTCCAAAACCTATTTTCCACCAAAAATGGGGTTCAAACAAGGCATAAGTCAATATGGAGTAATACAGAAGAGATACCTTCTGAACATAGCTTCAGTCACAGATGGTGAAATCCTTGCCACAAAAATCCTGGTCACTTTACTTGGTGGAGCTCTCATCTCCTCCTATAGTATAAGGTTTGAAAGAAACACCAAGAGTTAAAATGGCATAGCTTCTAAATCTTGTAGAGCAAATGCTCAAAGTACAAGCAAACGAAATAGGCAATAGTATAAATTAGAATAACTGGATGGCCAAAGAAGGTAACCTTTGGTGTGGCTATTTTGACCTCCAACATTCTATTACCAAGGACATGCTCGCTTGTCAATGCAGCCTACAAAATAAAATGTAACTTCCCTCTGAATAAACAAATAGAAAAAATGAAGCAAAAAACAGAGTTAACAAGGAAAAGTCAAAGCACAAGCCAGTCCTAGATGAGTACCTTCGCATCCTCAACTGCTGCAAATGTAACATATCCAAAACCACGAGAACGACCAGTGGTCCGCTCCTGACATCACCAATGCAAAGAAGATAACAAGTCTCCTCCTGACAGGGCTTATTATGTTCATACTAGAGTGCGTTTGATTGCCAATGTTTTTTATGAAAAATGTTATTATTTTATCCAAATTCTTACTTTTGTACTGTTTGATTGATATTTTTTCTTACTTTTTGTCACGTGATTATATTTTCCTTGAAAACAAGAATAATATTTTCTTTAGGGGACTGAGTTTTTATTTTTCAAGTAATTATCTCTCTCTTTCTCTCTCGTCTACCTACCAATAAAAAATTGACAGATATAGCATTTTCTAGGTTGAAAATAAAATCAATCTATACATTTAATTGACAATTTCCATGCAAATTTCATACTCACAATCAAATAAACCCTTAGCAAATTTCAGCTGAGAAAATAACCATTTTCCCACCAGAATGACAACAACTTTTTGATGGATGCTACTATTGTCCAATCAAACAAAGCTACCCATTTTTCTCAATCTTAAATAGTCCAAAAACTATTTAGTGGAAAAACAATAAATTTTCCATTGCTTCTGATTCTATAATCAGAAACCTGAATTTGTGAGACTTTCGAAAACATTTGCCATCCTCTAAAGTATAAATGCATTTCTATTGACAGATTCAAGTATAATACAATAAAAGCAGATTTCGTACTAACCTTCATTACAATGCAGTCCTCTAAATCCCCAAACTTGCTCATGTATTCTCTGAGTCCTTCTGTGTCCACATCCCATGGAATGCCCAAAACCTAAAAGTAACACAGATGCACTTTATACATACTTAAACAACCGCATATACCGAATCAAGCACAACCACAAAATCTACATTTCGGAAAGTCAGATGCGTGAAATTTTTGACTTACGACAAGCTTTCGGTCAGACATGATGAGATCAATCCGAAAATTTCTGGAATCAAGAACAGCTCTCTCGAGTTTACCTCTCTCTCACACCAACTCTCAATTCGCTCACGCACTCTTCCTGCACACAACAACAATAGACACACCTCTTTCTCACAACACACAATCATCATCATCATATACCAAATCAAACTCACCGTCTAATCTCTGAGTTAAAATACCTAAGAAAATAAAGTTCGCAAAAGATAAAAGAAAATTATTAGAGAACAGCTCTGGGCGCTCACGTATTCACTGACCTTTCGAACCGATTGAGGATTTTCAAAACCCTAACTCGCTCGCCCACTCGCTCTCTCTCCCCTCTCCACTCGCGCCGCTCGGTCCCCGTAACTGTCCGCTCTGCTGATCTATTCTCATCCACGCTTCGCGACTTCAATTTTTATCATACACGACAGCTATTCGTAGAAGAAACGATTTCGGGGAATCTAAATCCCTATAATGCCCTTTAACCTATTATTCCCAGTTTCGTTAATATTAACGTAGGAAAATGAACTTTGAAATAGAGAATTTTAGGAGATTATATGATTAAAAAGTATGAAATAATTTTACGTGTAAAATATTTTATTTTGAAAATGTGTAGCTAAAAATAAATTTGTAAAAAAATTGGAATTAGCGGTAAACAAATGGGGGTTAAGTCAACTCGATTTTGATTTTGCAGTTTGTTGATTTATTGAAAGTAGGAATTGAGATGCTTGTTGAAGAGTTTAGCCTTCTTTTCCGTAGAAAAATATGATACTATATTCTTATTTAAATTTATTATCTTAAAGTATATAATTTAATAAATTGTATTGAGACAAAAACAATGGAAGAAATTATTTAGTATAAATATTAAGATGAAACGACCCCATTTAACAAATGAAAGATCCTAAAATATTACACAATAATATTATGATATCACCGGAATATGAAAATGCTTTCATATTTTATTAACATACGTTAAAATGTATACAATACACATACATCATTAGTTTTCCAACATCTCTACAGTCAATATGACCATATCGATATGAAAATTAACAATAAGAAAATAATCTAGTTATCCACTATCATTCATGAATTAATAAATAATTAACTTTTTAGAGCTCATTATTATACATTATCGTACATTCACTAGTAGTTTGCCAATCGAGTTGCATTAATATATTCTTGTGGATTATGAGCAGGTAAAGCAGGGAATACTGGTCCAAACAGTCGACTCATCTTCAGTAGTAAACCTTCCTTGTACTCTAATCCATATATACGAGGAAGAATAAAGCTTCTCGCCAGCTCCCACAAGGCATCCACCCTCCTCGTAACAATTGACATAATGTCACAATAGTTCTTTTCATATAATTCTTCATTGACATCCTGAATCATATAAAGAAATCGATCAACCAGCTTGATTTCTTGTACTACATAATTTTATCTTATCTGTCCTAAAAAATATGAAGATAATAGTGTCAAAGAAGTCACGTCCAAACCCAAAAATTCAAGGGGCCCGTTTCGGACCTCGAATCGGACATGACCAGTGAAATTGACACCACTAGATAGAGAGCAGGTCGTTCACCTTTCTTTGGTAAAAGCAATCGATGTAGAGACATGTCCCGAAGTGCTTATACATCAGCACGGAGTTATCATAAGGCAGCCGAGGCACAATGTCATTACTATAAATAAACCTGTAATACTTGACTCCATAGCGTTCAAACTGCTCGTCCATAAACCTTCCAAATTTTCTGTCTCCGACCTTCGGCTGGCCAAATGTGTACACACCTTCTAGTCTTTTCAGTACAGAATCCTCCTTGAGCTGTACCAAAGCCGCAGGGAACAGAATTGCAAGAGCCCCACCTAAGCTGTGGCCAGCGACAATAAATCTGGTCCGATGATTAGCCGCAAAATGTCGTTTTAGCTCTTTGGTTATGGTACTATAAGCCCCACAGTGTCTAAGCGGACTTCCATTGAATTTCAGGCCAAGAGCTTCCATGAAACCACTGTGGACTCTGCCTTTAATGCCGTTGTATTTGTACCACGATATGTCAAGGTCTGTAATCCAGTCATTTGCATTGAAGGGTTCAGTGCCTCGGAAAGTCACAACTATCGTATCAGGATTAGTAGTTTTATCATGGAACATGAAGCCTTGTGTTGTATATTTTTGATGTCTCTCTGCCAAACATGAGTTTATTGGATTATTAGCAAAACATTCATATAGCTATACTACAAAATCAAGTTTATTGGATTATTAGCAAAACATTCATATAGCTATACTACAAAATCAATGGTAATATACTATGTTTTTGTGAAGAAGAGCCACGTCGATTTAGTATTTTTTTTTTTTTCCCCTCTTACCATCAAAAAAATCATATGCTCCCAATAATTCCATCTGCATGAAATCGCCAAAAGTTTATTCAAGTCACTGTTGAACGCTCAATATAAATGTAACAGTTTAAACTTTTGGACGAGACAGTTCATTATATACTACCTTCCATATTTTTTCAACCACATTTTGTATGAAGGTTTTGTTCTCGTAGGCTATTTTTGAAGCCATGGCAGTGAGAGCTGCAAAATACTTGCTGTCCCCAGGTTTGATTTTCCTGTCCAGCTCCACCCTTTTGTCTAGAAGCCCAATAATGGATAAAAAATTGGATAATCTTTTATCAGGTAACTTCATCTTCCCTGTATATATGGCATACATAGGTAAGTCAGATGATTTTTTTATTTCTTGGTATCGCGTTAATGTTGTTTAACATAAAATTTAAATAAATAAAAGCGTCCATTCTACAATTGTTTAAGCTTTAAATGAGATGGTTGAACATGTAATAAACCAGTCATGGGCTTGTGTTACGTATCAAAGATTAAACTTAAATAAATTTATGTCATCTCTGCGTGTTTAAGCTTGTAAATAAGGTTACTGAACAATTATCGCCATTGCAATGTTGTACTAGGAACCTCCAGGAAACGATAAAGAAACAGTAATTATTAGATAAATTGCTTTTGTGTATGATTGTTTGAAACAATGTGCATCATAAATATAACAAAATCAAAAGTACAATTAAGTGCCAAAATATGTTAAAATACAGACTAACCTCGCAATAGACCAGACAAGAACTCTCCAAAGTTATTTTTATTTCCTAAAATGTTTAGCACCGTCTCCATTGTTGAACCTAACAAAGACAATGGCCTTCCATTGGATTGAAGAATCTTCTGTAAGAACATAGAAACGAAAATAATTCCTCTTCCCTCAAGAATTGCTGGCTTCACTTCATATTGCTCCACAAAATTTTTGACCCCTATGTCTTGGGTGAATGGAACACAAAAAATGTCTATAAGGCTAGCATCACGTGGTTTCAGTAACAGATACTTCGTTCTCGTAATCATGTTTGAATCGAGCACGAATAGGTTGGGTTAATTGGTTAATGTTAAGTTCAATGTCCAGCCAAATGGAGTATTTTATAGATCGACATGTAGGAATCTTTAGCTACTTTCCTACCCAAAGAAGAAAGCCCTCGTACAAAACTCATCGACTATGTTTTGCAATGACAAACAACATGACATGCTAAAGAGAGATACTAATTTCGTCTTTATAACGAATAATCCAAAAGTACTAAAATCATGTGTTGGTGTGGTAGATTATACCGTATCAAACAAGAAAAATGGGTTAAAATCTTGTATTTTGGGTTAATAATAATATTCCTTGCACAAGTTGCTATTGCTTTGCTGTTGAAACTATGTAGATATTCTACTACCACGTGATTTTCTCCCAATTCATGAAACACAAGGTTTGAGCATAATATCCTCTACAGGAGATCCCAAGAGTTAACACTAGGGAATTAGCTATGTGACTTCCCTTTGTCACACTTCCTTTATTTAGTTTCCTTTTTCTTTTCGGGCTTGCTTTGTCCTTTATTGTTGGAATTCTTGGGGTCAGATGATACTTCACACTTACCACAATCCTTCGACCATAAAATCAACTTAATACGACGACTATATAAAAAGGTTAAGCTTAATGCATAATAGCTACGATTCACTCTAAGTCATTTGGGAGGATTTTATATCATTATCCATGACTGTTTATGTCTCTGGCATGACCATTTGATGAGAGGGAAGAGTAAATGGTCAATACTAATGAAAGGACTCCTCATTGGATAATAGGTACTGCAACTGATATTCTTGTGATAGATTTAATAGATATTTTCTTTTATAGTTCACATTACATATTGGGTTCATTGTGTAGTACTAGAATGAATTGAATTGTAAACATGAAAATGTTAGAACTCGATGGAATTCCGTTGTTTGTTGATGTAATCAAATGCACAAGTTTCTTTCTTTTTACTTTCTTCAAGCAAGTGTCCAAATACCTCACACACGATAAACATACTGCTCCTTCTCATGCCTAACAACAAAACCATACTATATGTTAATTAATAAGAATAGATATTATAATAATTTCCGCGACTGTCCAAGCTTCAGTTCAAATGGCTCTAATTATTAAATTTGAGTATATACACCGAGTTCAATGTTTCATTAGTCACTGAATTTATACACATGTTATGCTTTATTTCTCGAACTTTTAAAATGCTTCCGAATAATCACCGAACTTTAAGACATTGCATTCCATTACTCACTTACCATGTTTTATAAGTCATCAAACTTTATAATGCTTCTAACGGTTACTGAACTTTAATATGTTGCACTACATCATTCACTCGCCATGTTTCATTATTCATTGAATTTATACTTCTATCATGCTTGATTCACTAAACTTTAAAATGTTTTGAAGTGGTCATTGAACTTCATAATTTTTCAAAGTAAAGTTGATTTTCTATGAAATGTGACCTAGATCAAGAAAATAAAATAAAATAAATATCGACAAGATAATGAGACTCTTAATCTAAGATGAGAATATTGATACTTTTTGAAAAGATATAATTCTCTAGTCGTCGAAAACTATACTCATGGGGAAATAAGAATACTAACTTTAAATTGACATAAATCATAATCTTTCTTTACGTTGATAAAATAAAATAGAGAAATTGTTATTTTTATTTTGATTGAGATAGTAGACTCAAATTATGAAAATAAAATATTTATATCTCAAACAGGTTGTGAAATTTTCGATTTAGAGTCAATATAATAATCAAGACAAACAAAATATAATTTTTAGAGTTATCACAAAGTAATTCAAAGAGAAAAAAAGGACGTCTTATTTGTGTTTGCAATTTTATACTTCAAAGCTTTTAGTATTTGAATAATTGGATTCGGTGAGTAAAGTTCAGTGACTACTAGTATTTTAAAGTATAGTGAGTAGAACGTATATAATGTATAAGTTCATTGACTAATGAAATATGATGAGTGAGTGAGGAATGCAATGTGTTAAAATTCAGTGATCACTTGAAAGCATTTTGAAGTTTAGTGAGTAAAATGTGACGAAAATATAAGTTTAGTGGCTAATAAAACATTTAACTCGTATATACACCTACTTAACTTCAAGATCTTTTGGTCATTTGAACTAAAACTTAAAAATAAACACATTTATGATTTTCAACAGATTATCATGGCACATTGGAATTTATTAGTGGAATTTGAGTCTTTTCGTTAAATAGTTTTGGACGCTAACCTCAGGATCCTCAACTTCGACCATTTAGGATCCTTGCCCATTGGTAATTTCCATTTTTTTTTTTATGTATGTTCTTCAAATCAATACAAATAAATGGTAATTAGTGATTTATATTTTCATCAATAAATATTTAAGATTACGATGTGCCACAATGCTTCAGTATTTGAATTTTATTACGACTAGCTCTTCTATTTGGATTATTATTATGACTAACCCCATTAGTAAATGTGAGTGGCATTAGATAGGTAATCGTTGTCGCGTACTTAGTGTTCGTGATAAATCTATTATTAATATTGACTAAGTTTATTCGTAGATATAGATAATCTGCTAGCAACTATGCACACAACTCAGTCAATAAGTTGATATATATAGACAAGGGACAAAGAGAATATTATTCCCCTGTCTGATTTAAATAAAAATCAAATTTTTGTAGATTTTGATTTTAAAAAAAAATAGCATATATCCGGGAGACATTTTCTCCAGATTTTAGCCAAAATTGAAACATTATGGTGTTTGTTTGGTAGGAATTTTGATAATTAATTTTTTGACTGTTAGAGATAAAATGAGTTCTATTTGTGAGAGAAGAATTCAAGAATGATGGATGTTTTAGGGAAATAATGATCAAAAAATTGATTTTAATTGACTTTTTAGCTGTACCAAACAAGTTCATAAACAGTAGATGGTCCTGATCCAGCCATAACACTTGACACACAAAACAACAAATTTCTTTTTATTATTTTGAAATCTCAAAAATGCCCCACTTAAGGGGCACACAATGGTCTTTTCATCAATCCACTATAATTGATTAGTAAGGAAGCAATCAACAATGGTTTTTACAGTGGGACCTACTTACTGTTTACAACATTCCAATTTTGCTTAAAATATGGAGAAAATGACTTCCAGACAGGCGTTTAATGAAATGTATGATTGAAAAGTTATCAATTCCATGAAATATAAGCTAAATATTAATTGTCGACTCTTAACTTAAATTTTAATCCACTTTTCTAACTAAATCAAACATGGGCCATATGTGAAAATTGTACGTCTTCGACTCTCTCTATGCATTTTTTATGACATTTCCTTACAATAGAATATCTAGTTGCAGAGTTACGAGGAACCCATTATGGATGTTTCATTAACTTATGAATCCCAAATAGTTTCAAATATTTAAGTGTGCGTTTCGTTTGTCGTTTTGAAACCATTTTTAATTTTCTAAAATACGTAAAACATGTTTAGTATGTTAGTTTCAAAAATGAGTATTCGAAAATGAGGAACATTTAGAACATAAAACGCCAAATGACTTTTTGACGTTTCGAGTGTTTTCAATTAAAACACTCAAAATAAGAAAAATGAACTTAAAAATTTCTCAAACTAAAATAATTAATAACATCATGTAAAACTTACCCAAATAAAATACCTCTCTCTCTCTCTCTCTCTCTCTCTCTCTCTCTCTCTCTCTCTCTATATATATATATATATATGCAGGAAGATTAGTTACGAGTTAAAAAAGGTTTTATCTTTTAGTCATATTAAGTCAATTGTACATGCAAGAACGAAGATTCATACGACTTTAGGACATCATCTCATGTTGTACTGCGAAGGATAACTTTACTAATTCTTTTTGCTTGTATACTTGTATTGTATATGAATTATGATATTATTCAATGTACACAATAATTTTCTAACATCTCTATCACTAAACATATTATCAACGTAAATGTTACTCCCCGTATTCAGTTAGACATCTAAAGCGACATGTGGAAGCTCCACTGACGTCATCGAAAGAGTCAGCCTAAATATATGAAAAGATAAAACAACAAGGTTACAAAGGCTATAGAAGTCGAAGTCCTTGTTATGGCTGAGGTGCCACTCAACCAGATATATACCGAAACCTTGACGAAGGGTTTAGGTAGAAGCCCTCATGTTCACGATCTATCGAAGTTCTGAAAGAGAATGCTAAAGTCCTAAGAGACGAAGAGGTTGCCACATCTGCCAACCTGACGAATAACTTTGTGAAAGATTGATTAGACATCTACTTTATCTTATGTCAGAAATATCAACCTAGAAATATAGGATAGTTGACCCTTTATCAATGTAATAAATGAATGTGTAAGAAAGATATGATGTGTAAAAGAAGGAAGTAGGAGCACGTGGTTCGAATCCAACGGCCAACACGTCTTCCCCAAACTCTATATATACCCTCCCCTTAGAGAAGAAAAAAAGGAGAGATGTGTGGAACAATAGAAACAATAAACATATAGAAAGAGAAAAGGGGAGAAAACCCCAAAAGAAGAAGAAGGAACGCGTATATTAATTTTCGGCACATTTTTGAGAGAAAAATGAACACTATCTCATACATATCAAGTCATTGGATATCTTATTCTTTTCCTTTCCCTTCTATTTACATACGACTATTCCGAGCATACCAAAGTGAAATTGTATTTGCGCATCTTCAAGTTCTCCATTACTTTAACCAGTGTTCGAGTTGTTTAGTCACGCGTTGAAGACATATTCTCTGTGTGCCCGCATGGACGCATATGGACCCGACAGCTGTTGGTGCCATTTTTGAGCGTCAACAATAGATATAATCAATAAGAAAATCTTGTTACACTAACGCCACATCTATTAATTAACAATTTTGAGTCCATTATATTATTGTATATTCACAAGAAGTAGTTCACCAATCGAGTTGCATTAATGTATTCTTGTGGAACGTGAGCAGGAAAATAAGGAATTATGAATCCCACCAGTCGAAACATCTGGAGTAATAAACATTCCTTATTCTCTGATCCAATATATAAGGAAGAATAAAACTTCTTACTAGCTCCCAAAAAGCATTGATCCTCTTCGCAACAACGTAAATATAGTTCTTATATGAGTCTTCTTCAACATACAATGTCATACAAAATAAGCCATTGTTTGAGCCCCTTTTTTCCCATCAAAGTACATTCTTTAATGGTCATTTGACATATTTCAATCACATTTTTAATAAAATAATATTACACGCAAATCAAAAAAATTCCCTATTTTTTAAGCACACATTCTTCATTATAACACTATTTAAAAATGCATTTTTTTGAAAAAAAAATTGGGCTCAAACAACTTCATTTTTATCACGTATTAGAATATAAAGAAAGTGATATCAAAGTAGTCAAACTTATATCAAATCAGTCATATAAGCGGCCCTTTTGGACCTCTTTGCCTTGGACCAACGAAATTGACATCAATATATAGAGAGAAGGACATTCACGTCTCTTTCATAGATGCAATTGATACAGAGACATGTACCAAAACGTTTAAACATAAGCACAATGTCGTGACTATAAACAAATATAATACTTAACTCCATAGGATTCCAACATCTCATCCATAAACTTTCCAAATTTTGTGTCTCCAACCTTAGGCTGTCCAAATGTATATACACCTATTAGTCTTTTTAGTACACCAACCTGCTCATGCAATGCTAAAACCACTGGAAACAGAATCGCAAGCGCCCCACCTAAGCTGTGACCAGTGATGATAAATCTTGTCCGAATGTTATTCTCAAAATGTTTTTTTAAGTCTTTGGTTATGGTATTATAGGCCCCGTCATCGAGGGGCCAACTTCCATCTAATTTTAGGCCTAGAGCTTTCATAAAACGACCATGGACTTTGCTGTTAATGGCATCAAATTTGTACCATGATATGTCGAAGTCTGTTGTCCAGTCATCTGCAAAACAAAAGTTTAGAGTGCGTTTGGTTTGCGTTTACATTTTCTATTTTCAGTTTTGAATTCATTTTTAGTTTTCTGTTTTGAAAGATTATTTTTGAATTACAGAAAAAGTATTTGGTTTGTCATTTTGAAAAACGGTTTCTCAAAACAAAAAATTAGAAAATGCGTTTGGTTAAAAAATTTTAGAAATTGTTTTATGAAATTATTCAATTAATTTGATTATTTAGTAAAACATAATAATTTTATGCTAATATATTACTAGATAATATATATTTTAAACTTGGTGAATTTACTATTTTTTCTTGCTACAAAAATATAATAATAAATAATAAATTTTTAGAAATTATTTTATGACATTTATTCAATTAATTTGATAATTTAGTAAAATATAATAATTTTATGCTAATATGATGGTTTGATACGATGAATAACGGTTACATTTTCCATTTTAACGAACAAATAATGGGAAACAAATAGGGGCTTTGTTCTAGGGAAGGCAACAGGCGCGAGCCACGGTGGGGACGGGGCAACTTTTTGCCCCATTTGTTGCCC